TCCCAGCATGCTACAGGCCCAATATCAGTACCCTGGGCCTTTTGGTTATTGTGAAGAAGTTGTTTGAAGATTTTAACACATCGGACCCCAGTGACCTTGAATGTGGGTCAAGGTCTTTTATTTGAAAAAACTTGGTAGCCTTTCATCCCAGCATGCTACAGGCCCAATATAAGTACCCTGGGCCTTTTGGTTATTGTGAAGAAGTTGTTTGAAGATTTTAAGACATCTGACCCCATTGACCTTGAAAGTTGGTCAAGATCGTTCATTTTAACAAACTTGGTAGCCCTTCATCCCAGCACGCTACAGGTTCAATATCAGAACCATGGGCCTTTTGGTTATTGAGGAGAAGTTGTTTTGAAGATTTTAAGACATCTGACCCCTGTGACCTTGAAAGTTGGTCAAGGTCATACATTTGAACAAACTTGGTAGCCCTTCTTCCCTGCTACAGGCCCAATATCAGTACACTGGGCCTTTTGGTTATTGAGGAGAAGTCGTTTGAAGATTTTAAGACATCTTTGACCCCAGTGACCTTGAAAGTTGGTCAAGAACATACATTTTAACAAACTTGGTAGCCCTTCTTCCCAGCATGCTACAGACCCAATATCAGTACCCTGGGCCTTTTGGTTATTGTGAAGTAGTTTTTTGAAGAATTTAAGACATCGGACCCCAGTGACCTTGAAAGTTGGTCAAGGTCATTTATTTGAACAAACTTGGAAGCCCTTCATCCCAGCATGCTACAGGCCCAATATCAGTACCCTGGGCCTTTTGGTTATTGTAAAGAAGTTGTTTGAAGATTTTAAGACATCTAACCCCATTGACCTTGAATGTGGGTCAAGGTCATTTATTTGAACAAACTTGGTAGCCCTTCATCCCAGCATGATACATGCCCAATATAAGTACCCTTGGCCTTTTGGTTAATGAGAAGAAGCTGTTTGAAGATTTTAAGACATCTGACCCATTGACCTTGAATGTGGGTCAAGGTCATTCATTTGAACAAACTTGGTAGCCCTTCATACCAGCATGCTACAGGCCCAATTTCAGTACCCTTGGCCTTTTGGTTATTGAGAAGAAGTTGTTTGAAGATTTTACGTCATTTGACCCCAGTGACCTTGAAAGTGGGTCAAGGTCATTCATTTGAACAAACTTGGTAGCCCTTCATACCAGCATGCTACAGGCCCAATTTCAGTACCCTTGGCCTTTTGGTTATTGAGAAGAAGTTGTTTGAAGATTTTACGTCATTTGACCCCAGTGACCTTGAAAGTGGGTCAAGGTCATTCATTTGAACAAACTTGGTAGCCCTTCATCCCAGCATGATACATGCCCAATATAAGTACCCTTGGCCTTTTGGTTAATGAGAAGAAGCTGTTTGAAGATTTTAAGACATCTGACCCATTGACCTTGAATGTGGGTCAAGGTCATTCATTTGAACAAACTTGGTAGCCCTTCATCCAAGCATGCTCCTGGCCAAGTATCATCAGCCAGGGCCTCTTGGTTATTGAGAAGTAGCTGTTTTAACTAAAAAGTTGACGCCGGACGGACGCCGCACCATGCTATAAGCTCACTTGAAGGGCCAGGTGAGCTAAAAATATGCAAAGTGGAAAGTATTTGTTTTTGACTCAACTGTGTATTTAGTCACTGTTGACATAGCATAATCTTTCCCGCGAAAAAGGCTGTTCAATTAATGTTGTTTTCATGACGGTGTTTTGCATTTTAACGCGCATCATGGAATATGTTTGAATGGAACTGTGTTGCATACCCTCATAAATGTTAAAAAGATGCATTTCAAACCTTAAATATTTACGGTAGTTAATGGTCAGACATAAAATATCTAAATCAATCAACAGCAATCCATATTATAACAGTCTATACCCCTTCGGGAACCTCAAAGGTGCCTGATTCATACTCGGAACATCTTTAGATTATATGTTATTCACGTGTGAAATTTGGAACGGCACCCCAGCAGTGACTAAAAAGTAATAATAACTAAGCTAAAAATGTTAAGATTTCTAGTCTGGTCATTGTGTGTAACAATATTGATTTCCTGCTATCAAAATGTCAATAGGCCTATTCATTCTACATAATATGTTTAAAGGATAAGGATAGAATTTCAGTAAGTAAAACGGTTTGGGGAACCATTATGAGTTATATGATCTTTTACAATTATATCTTTCACAGTCAAATTAAGTTTTGTAGTAGATGTACTTCGGAAACTCGGTCTTGTTTCACACATTTCAAGTTCAGTACAAAACATCAGATTTTTCTTCAAAATATTTTCACATTTTCACATCATAGCTTTAAACACTTTTAACTGGTATTTATTCATTTTAATACAAAGGTGATCGTTTGTAGGTGTTCATTAATAAGTGTGAAAGAGGTGACTTGCCTTCTACAGATCTGAGTGGAAAACAATAGATTTGATTGTGAGTTGAATTCACACATTTTCCACAGCCTATCAACGTCTATTGTAATCACAAGGGGTCACACTTTGGACTGTTTTTTAATACTTTGTGAAGTTTGTGATTTTATAGGTTTTTATAAAGTGTAACTTCTATAACCCAGGGTTAAATTGTGGCAGGTGTACCAAATCGGGGTTTGGGCAATTTTTTTATTTCAGTCATTACCTCGCACAATCTGGTGTGATTGACACCCATGTGTATATTTGACTTTGGTCCACTTGTAAGGTTACAGGTGTGAGATTAATATCAGGTGTCCAACGCAGGCTGACTGAGCCTGTTGTTCGATACATTTCTACATATAAATACTTTAAACTTATCTTCCTAAATGAAATTATATTTCTTTTGGAAACATATCACCTGCATAAATAACCCATTTGAGGACTTTTTCAACAAAATTTTCCGAGCCACAGCTGAACTGATCAATAAACAAACTGTGATGTTGAGTCTAAATACACTGATGTGACCTATAGCCAATGATACACAGTAATGTATAAATACACTGTTGTGACCTATAGCCAATGATACACAGTAATGTATAAATACACTGTTGTGACCTATAGCCAATGATACACATCAATGTATAAATACACTGTTGTGACCTATAGCCAATGATACACATCAATGTATAAATACACTGTTGTGACCTATAGCCAATGATACACATCAATGTATAAATACACTGTTGTGACCTATAGCCAATGATACACATCAATGTATAAATACACTGTTGTGACCTATAGCCAATGATACACATCAATGTATAAATACACTGTTGTGACCTATAGCCAATGATACACATCAATGTATAAATACACTGTTGTGACCTATAGCCAATGATACACATCAATGTATAAATACACTGTTGTGACCTATAGCCAATGATACACATCAATGTATAAATACACTGTTGTGACCTATAGCCAATGATACACATCAATGTATAAATACACTGTTGTGACCTATAGCCAATGATACACATCAATGTATAAATACACTGTTGTGACCTATAGCCAATGATACACATCAATGTATAAATACACTGTTGTGACCTATAGCCAATGATACACATCAATGTATAAATACACTGTTGTGACCTATAGCCAATGATACACATCAATGTATAAATACACTGTTGTGACCTATAGCCAATGATACACAGTAATGTATAAATACACTGTTGTGACCTATAGCCAATGATACACATCAATGTATAAATACACTGTTGTGATATATACTCAACATAATAGCAATCTTAGCATACAGACCATGTGTAAGACGTATTTCTCAGCCTCCTTAGGTCCAGAAAGTTGAACTCTATTTGCCATGTCAGTTAGTGATAACGTTAAAAATGTCTGAAAATATAAAATACACTCATATAGTTTAGCTTATTGCATCTATATAAACTCATTACTAGAGGCCCAGAGAGCCTGTATTGTTCACCTGGATAATTTAGCAACCCTGGGAAATTATCGTCATTCAATATAATACAGTAACAGTTTCCAAATATTGGCTCGGTCTCTCAGCAACACCTGTCCCTAATTAGGTCCCATATGCATAATGATGCTGTGTAGAGCAGGGGCACTTGGAGGCAGAGGGGAGGGGCCCAATACTGGAAATTAAGGTAAATCTTAACAAGAGGCCCATGGGCCTTAACGGTCACCTGATATATTTATACAGAGAGTTGATTTTTGTTTTTAACATGAACAGAAATATTATTCAAAGTGTCAAAAAACAACAAAACCACCTTATTCAATATCTAGCATGCTGATTTAAGACTGAAAAGTATTTGAAACCAGCACCTCTGATTCTAAACAAGGAAAATGAAGAAATTTTATTTTAGCACACAGACTCCATTGGGCCCCACCCTACAGCCCTTGGGGGTAGGGATGGCTCAAAATTTACAAAGTATCAAACTGTCAACTTAGGATTATAATTCCAATCAAGTTATACAGATAATGCTAACCCAAATTGAATTACTTCCAATGGCAATTAAACAAATGTTGGTCCAAAATGTGATTTCCCTATATAAACTATAGTAAAGTTTACCCCCTCCCCAGGGGAAAACATGAGACCCCAGGGTCATGAAATTCGCAAATTTGGTAAAGCACCTTAAGACCCTTTCACAATTCAACCCTTTTTGGCCCTACCCATAAGCCCCGGGGGGTCAGTCAGGGCTGATATGTGCATACTATCAAACTGCTACCCAATACTGATAATGCTAACCTAAATTGAATTACTTCCAAAGGCAATTAAACAAATGTTGGTCCAAAATGTGATTTCCCTATATAAACTATAGTAAAGTTTCCCCCCCCCCCCCCCCGAGGGGGAAACGTGAGATCCCAGGGTCAAGAAATTCACAATATTAGTAAAGCACCTTAAGACCGTTCTGTCTATGAAGAGTATTTGATTCTACCATATCTGGATCTGAGAAGAAGATTTTTGAAATTTTAGTCAATTTTACCCTTTTTGGCCCCGCCCCTCAGGCCCCTGGGGGCTGGGGACCATACAATTCACAATTTTAGTTGACATTTGGCCATGGAAGGTTTCTGCAAAATTTCATTGAAATTGGTTTAGGGGTCGAAAATGTAAATTGTTTACGGACGCACGACGGATGACGGATGACGGTTGACGAACGGCGGACGACACCAGACAAAAGGCGATCGCAATAGGTCACTGGAGACTTTGTCTCAGGTGACCTAAAAATCCTTCTAAGGCAGTTGCCATTCCTGTTAACTTTCTTTGAAATCGACCCAGTAGATTAGGAGAAGTTGTCAGGACAAGGATTTTTCAACAAAGGGCCATAACTCCATAAAAAGGGTTAGGAAAAAATTACCTGGATGCCCAACTTTAGGTGGTAGTTATCATATCTGATATATTCTGTTGAAATTGGGAGCTTAGTGTTGGAGGAGTTGTATGGAGAAGTATTTTTCAACAAAGGGACATTACTCTGTAAAAAGGGTAAGATTGAAAAGAATAATACCTGGATGCACAATTTCAGGTGATAGTTATCATATTTGAATAGTTTCGTTGAAATCGGTCTCATTGTTTTGGAGGAGTTGTGTGGGAAAGAATTTTACAACAAAGGGCAATAACTCCATAAAAAGGGTCAGAACGAAAAGAATAATAATGGATGCACAATTTCAGGTGATTGTTATTTGAATAGTTTCGTTGAAATCGGTCTCACAGTTTTGGAGGAGTTGTCTGGACAAGGATTTTTCAACAAAGGGCCTTTGTAAACAAGAGATCCCAAAGGAATCTTGGCGCCCACCATTGTACCATCTTCATTAGTTCTTTGTCAGTTTGATCTTTTCTCTTCTTTCCTCTTATCTGTTTGATCGAGTCATGTTAACAGTAAATGCACCTTGAGGTAATTTTTGATCTAAACTTAATACTGCTGTGTATAAAAGACAACCTTCAAAGTGAGTTTGTCATTTCACATATTTACTAGTACAGTACTTAGTGTGAATGAAATAGAACCCATCATTGCAATATGAGAAAGATCTGTTTAGTTCTTCCTAGGCCAGTTTTTAGTATGATCAGTCTCAAAATATAACATGCAGAAGGAGGTATCAAGGGGAACATACATATCAAATTTGAGAAAGATCCCTCAAGTTATTCCTGAGAAATAGTACTAACAAACCTTTAATGTCAAAAATTGAAGATGGCTGTCGGTCGGCCATTTTGTTTATTTGATCAGTTTCAAAAGTAAACATGAACAATAAAGGATAGTGGGGAACCTGCATATAAAATTTGAGAAAGAACCCTACAGCACTTCCTTGGAAATAGCACTAACAAACCTTAACTATCAAAATCAAAGATTTCTTTATCCGATCAGTCTCATAAGAAAGCATGCACAACTTCATACCAAGGGAAACCTACATATAAAATTAAGAAAGATCTCTACAGTACTTCCTGAGAAATAGCCATAACAAACTTTCACTCTAAAAATCCAAAAAGGCTGCCTGTCGGCCATTTTGTTTATCTGATCATTCTCAAAATTAAACATGCACAACAACAGACATAGGGGAGCCTACATAACAAATTTGGGAAAGACCTCTCCAGTACTTCCTGAGAAAAAGTGATAAACTCCTGTTTACAGTTATAGTATGGCTAACTTCTTCCTCTTTACAGTCATAGTATGGGTAATTAACTCCTGTTTACAGTTATAGTATGGATAATTATCTCCTGCATGTTTACAGTTATAATATGGATAATTATCTCCTGTTTACAGTCAAAGTATGGCTAATTATTTCCTGTTTACAGTTATGATATGGGTAAATATCTCCTGTTTAGTTATAGTATGGCTAATTATCTCCTGTTTACAGTTATAGCATGGATAATTATCTCTTGTTTACAGTTATAGTATGGCTAATTATCTCCTGTTTACAGTCAAAGTATGGCTAATTATCTCCAGTTTCAATTTATGATATGGCTAATTATCGCCTGTTTACAGTTATAGTATGGCTAATTATATCCTGTTTACAGTTATAGTATGGCTAACTTCTTCCTGTTAACAGTTATAGTATGGCTACTTATCTACTGCTTACAGTTATAGTATGGCTAACTTCTATCTCTTTACAGTTATAGTATGGCTAAGTATCTCCTGTTTACAGTCATAGTATGGCTAATTATCTCCTGTTAACAGCCAAAGTATGGCTAATTATCTCCCGTTTCAATTTATGATATGGCTAATTATCTCCTGTTTATAGTCATAGTATGGCTAATTATCTCCAGTTTCAATTTATGATATGGCTAATTATCACCTGTTTACAGTTATAGTATGGCTAATTATCTCCTGCTAACAGTTATAGTATGGCTAATTATCTCCTGTTTACAGTCATAGTATGGCTAATTATCTCCTGCTTACAGTTATAGTATGGCTAATTATCTCCTGTTTACAGTAATAGTATGGCTAATTACCTCCTGTTTACAGTTATAGTATGGCTAATTATCTCCTGTTTACAGTAATAGTATGGCGTATGGCTAACGTCTTCCTCTTTACAGTAGGCTAACTTCTTCCTCTTTACAGTTATAGTATGGCTAACTTATTCCTCTTTTCAGGTATAGTATGGCTAATTATCCTCTGTTTACAGTTATAGTATGGGTAATTACCTCCTGTTTACAGTTATAGTATGGATAATTATCTCCTGTTTACAGCTATAGTATGGATAATTATCTCCTGTTTACAGTCATAGTATGGCTAATTATCTCCTGTTTACAGTTATGATATAGCTAATTATCTCCTGTTTACAGTTATAGTATGGATAATTATCTCCTGTTTACAGTTATAGTATGGCTAATTATCTCCTGTTTACAGTCATAGTATGGCTAATTATATCCTGTTTACAGTTATAGTATGGCTAACTTCTATCTCTTTACAGTTATAGTATGGCTAATTATCTCCTGTTTACAGTTATAGTATGGCTAACGTCTTCCTCTTTACAGTAATAGTATGGGTAATTACTTCCCCCTTTGAGTTAGAGTATGGCTAATTGTCTATACTTTTGAGTTAGAGTATAACTTATTACCTCCCCCTTTGAATAACTAATTACCTCCCCCTTTGAGTTAGAGTATAACTAATTACCTCCCCCTTTGAGTAAGAGTATGACTAATTACCTCCCCCCTTTGAGTTAGAGTAAGACTAATTACCTCCCCCTTTGAGTATGGGTAATTGTCTACCCTTTCGAGTGACTTACCTTTGTGAGTCTTTGGATATTTTTCTTAAACATGGATGTGATACACTGCTTTACAAGGCCCATGTTATTGTCCTAAATTGAAAAATAATTAATAAACAAAGAATGACATATCTTCAATAAGATTCATTAGTTTGGAAATATGTAAAGTTTTACTTCATACACAAACAATGTACACATTGAACGTGTCACAACGTTTCAAGACCGACTGGTCCCTTTGTCAAGCTATGACTGAGTGAACCGACAGGTCCCTTTGTCAAGCTATGACTGAGTGAGACCGACTGGTCCCTTTGTCAAGCTATGACTGAGTGAGACCGACTGGTCCCTTTGTCAAGCTATGACTGAGTGAGACCGACTGGTCCCTTTGTCAAGCTATGACTGAGTGAGCGATATGTATTTTTTACCTGCATGTACAATGATGTGATGAAATGAATTTTCGATCGATAGAGAGCGTATACACACTGCATCTTCCACAGAACAGGAACGAAAGACACAGGGAAGATTTGTTTGATTTAGTATTGTTTAACATCCTATCAACAGCTATGGGCATTTAAGGACGGCCTCCCCTGAGTGCAAGATGCATGCGTGTAGTGTATGCGTGTGTGTTTTGGGAGGCTGCGATATGTTCGTGTTTGTCTCCTTGTGATAGCACGGAACTGATGCTGACTTTATAGTGCTACCTCACTGAAACATACTACCGAAGACACCCAGTAGGACACCCCACCCGATCACAACATACTGACAACCTCCTAAATTGCTGAGTGTTAAGCAGGTGTAGAAACTACAATGTTTACAGACTCTGGTATGTCACGGCCAAGGGGCAGAACCTTAAGCCTTCCTCACAGGGGCGAACGCACAACTCCAGGCCAAAAGTGAACCATTGTCAAGGGAGACATTAGGAAGAAGAAAATTGTTTAGAAAGAATAGAAAAGATAAGATCCCAAATTAAGTCGCCTCTTATGATCATGCAATGGGGGCAACAGGTACAATTCTTACGCCCTACCTGCAGGGACAACATACAGGGAAGAACAGCACATAAAAGACGCACTCAACCGGTGTGGCTACCTCGACTGGTCAATTAATAAAGTGAAAACAGCTGTAAAACAGGAGTTGTATATCAAATTCCGTGCAAAAATTGTCAGTAGTCATACATATAGGGAAACTGGGAGGAAATTTGGTAAAAGTCTGCAAGAACGTATAGAAAATGAATAACGTCAATTTTACCAGAACTACACGGAAAACATCTGCCACCCAGTACAATAAGTCAGCATTAACAGATCACGCTTATGACCAAAATCATATCGTCAATCAGGACAATGCCAAAATAGTTGAAAGGGATCATCATACAACAGGAGGCCCAGAGGGCCTGTATCGCTCACCTGGATAATAAAGTAACCATGGGAAATTATTTTTATTACATAAAATCCCTCCAATGGTACAACAGAAGGGTTTTGAAGATTTAAACCTCAAATTCCCCTATTGGGCCCCACAACTCTGCACCCAGAGGAGCCACACCCTCCATTTATACAAAATTTAGTCTCCTTTGCCCAAGGATGCTCCAGGCCAAATTTGGATAAAATCTGTCCAATGATACAGAAGGAGAAGGATTTTAAAAGATTTAAACCTGAATTTCCCCTTTTGAGCACGCCCCTCTGCGACCACACCCAGAGTTTTATACAAAATTGAGTCCCTGTGGCCGAAGGACTCTCCAGACCAAATAGAGATCAAATACCTTTATCTCTATAGTAGGAGAAGAATTTTAAAGGTTTTACCTCAATTTCCCCTGTTCGGCCCCAATCCTCTACCCCCAGGGGGGCTATACCCATTATGTATACAAAATTGAGCCCCTATTGCCCCAGGATGCTCCAGAACAAATTTCGATAAAATCCCTTATATTAATCCCTATGGTAGAAGGATTTACCTCTTTTTCCCCTGTTCGGCCCCACCCCTCTACCCCAGGGGGCCACACCCACCGTTTATACAAAATTTAGTCCCCTTGGCCTATCTGATGCAGTGTGTATACACTCTCTATCTATAACAGGGGAGGCGGCTAGACCTTCACCCTCCCTGTAACCTATCTGATGCAGTGTGTATACACTCTCTATAACAAGGGAGGGGGCTAGGCCTACACCCTACCTGTTGCCTATCTGATGCAGTGTGTATACACTCTCTATCTATGAAAGGGGAGGGGACTAGACCTACACCCTACCTGTAACCTTTCTGATGCAGTGTGTATAAACTCTCTATCTATAACAGGGGAGGGGACTAGACCTTCACCCTACCTGTAACCTATCTGATGCAGTGTGTATACACTCTCTATAACAGGAGAGGGGACTAGACCTACACCCTACCTGTTACCTATCTGATGCAATGTGTATAAACTATCTATCTATAACAGGGGAGGGGATTAGACCTACACCCTACCTGTTGCCTATCTGATGCAGTGTGTATAAACTCTCTATAACATGGGAGGGGACTAGGCCTACACCCTACCTGTTACCTTTCTGATGCAGTGTGTATAAACTCTCTATAACATGGGAGGGGACTAGGCCTACACCCTACCTGTTACCTTTCTGATGCAGTGTGTATAAACTCTCTATCTATAACAGGGGAGGGGACTAGACCTACACCCTACCTGTTACCTATCTGATGCAATGTGTATAAACTATCTATCTATAACAGGGGAGGGGGCTAGACCTACACCCTACCTGTTACCTATCTGATGCAATGTGTATAAACTATCTATCTATAACAGGGGAGGGGGCTAGACCTACACCCTACCTGTTACCTATCTGATGCAGTATGTATAACTCTCTTTAACAGGGGAGGGGGCTAGGCCTACACCCTACCTGTTGCCTATCTGATGCAGTGTGTATACACTCTCTATCTATGAAAGGGGAGGGGACTAGACCTACACCCTACCTGTAACCTTTCTGATGCAGTGTGTATAAACTCTCTATCTATAACAGGGGAGGGGACTAGACCTTCACCCTACCTGTAACCTATCTGATGCAGTGTGTATACACTCTCTATCTATAACAGGGGAGGCGGCTAGACCTTCACCCTCCCTGTAACCTATCTGATGCAGTGTGTATACACTCTCTATAACAGGAGAGGGGACTAGACCTACACCCTACCTGTTACCTATCTGATGCAGTGTGTTTAAACTCTATTTAACAGGGGAGGGGGCTAGGCCTACACCCTACCTGTTG